TCTATGATTTGTGACAGTAAGGTATTATAGCGATGAAAAAGGAAGGGGAAAGATATCAAACGGATATTCAAATTCATACTAGTGAGTCAAATACTGACTGACAATGACATGGCAAAAAAACGAAAAAACGACGACAGAACAAACAACAGTACACAAAACACAGCATAGAAAACTAAAAACTCAGCAACACGAATCCCACTAAAAACCGGTTGAGATCTCAATGAGTGCGGTTATAACATTTAATGCTCTTTATCTTCTTACTTTATTTGGCCTTTTTAACGTTTTGGATTTGAGTGTCACTGATGAGTCTTTTGTAGACAAAACGCGCGTCTGGCGAACAAAGCTTTTATCCTGGTATCTATGATGACTAGTATGATTTAAACATATCAAAAATGAAGATATAACTTGTATTTATTGACGTCCTTTTTTCAGAGGTATCCATTAAATCTAATGAAGCCCAAACTGCTAAAAAAGAAGCCGATAGCTCGTCAACAGGTAGGCAATTGTACTAACATACTTTTTAGCTCACCTGGCCTAAAAGGCCAAGTGAGCTTTTCTCATCACTGGTCGTCCGTCGACGTCGACGTTAACTTTTACAAAAATCTTCTCTGAAACTACTGGCCCAAATTTACATTGGGGTAAAATGTATTTTTTGGCTTATATCTCTGAAACTGAAGCATTTAGGGCAAATCTGACATTGGGTGAACATGTTCATTAGGTTAAGATATATCTGCCCTGAATTTTGCAGACGAATCAGATAACCCGTTGTTGGGTTACTACCCCTGAATTGATAGCTTTAAAGAAATTTTGCAGTTTTTGGTTGTTATCTTGAATATTATTATAGATAGAGATAATAATAATGTTCAGCAAAGTAAGATGTACAAACAAGTCAACATGACCAAAATTGTCAACTGACCCCTGAAGGAGTTATTGCTATTTAAAGTCAAATTTTAACAATTTTTCGTAAATGTTTGTAATGTTTTACAAAAATCTTCTCCTCTGAAACTACTGAGACAAATTTAACCAAACTTGGCCACAATCATCATTAGGGTATTTAGTTTACAAATTGTGTCCGATGACCCGCCTGCCAACCAACATGGCCAGACATGGCTAAAAATAGAACATAGGGGTAAAATTCGGTTTTGGCTTATATCTCTGAAACTTAAGCATTTAGAGCAAATTTGAGATTGGGTAAAAATGTTCATCAGGTTATTATATATCTGCCCTGCAATTTGTTATTATCTTGAATATTATTATAGATGGAGATAAACTTTAAAAAGCAATAACATTCAGCAAAGTAAGATCAACTAATAAGTCACTTGACTAAAATTGTAAATAAAGCCAACAGTAGTATACCGCTATTCGAAATTCATAAATCGATTGAGAAAAAAACAAATCCGGGTTACAAACTAAAACTGAGGGAAACACAGTAAATATAAGAGGAGAACAACGACACAACAGAAACACAACACTAAAATGCAACACACACAGAAACGAACTATAATATAACAATGGCCATTTTCCTGACTTGGTACAGGACATTTTAAGAAAAAATGGTGGGTTGAACCTGGTTTTGTGGCTAGCCAAACCTCCCGCTCATATGGCAATGTTAAACATAACATTAAAATGAAAAGATTACATGACAGGACTAAAATACAAATAAATGGGAGAACATACAGGACAGAGACACACACAAATAATAGCTATCAAAAAGTACCAGGCTTATAATTTAATACACTAGACGCGCGTTTCGTCTACATAAGACCCATCAGTGACGCTCAGATCAAAAAAGTTCGAAAGCCAAAACAAGTTCAAAGTTAAAGAGCATTGAGGACCAAAAGTTCCAAAAAGTTGTGCCAAATACGGCTAAGGTTATATGCCTGGGATAAGAAAATCCTTAGTATTTAGAATAATTCATACTTTTGTAAATTACCCTTTAAGGAGTTATTACCCTCTATAATCAATTTTTAATAAATTTTTGTAATCTTTTACAAAAATCTTCTCGGCCAAATAGAATTACACTGAGCCATAATCTTGTTAGAAAAATGTATCCGATGACCCTGCAATCCAACCAACATGGCTGTCATGGCTAAAAATAGAACATAGGAGTTTGCTATAGAATACTATGGGGAAATTGTAAAAAAGCAATTTCAAATGGTCACAACTTAAAAACTAATTTGAATAATGATAAGGGGTCTTCAGTAACTATAATAAGACTACAGTGGGATGACTTGATTTTTTTTCCATGGGAGGGTGCAATTGTTTTCAGGGGGGGGGGGGGGTGCTTATATAAATTTCTGCTTGATATTTTCCATTTTCAGAATTATTCAGTTTCTCTTCTATAAACCATAATTATATCGTCTCTTTCAGCATACTTATATGGGGTGAATGTTTCCAAATAAACATTTAAAGGCATTTCCAGCTTCATAAGGCCCTGGGTGAAATAAATTTTGGAGAGGAGGTGTATTCAATTGGTGTTCGTTTGGGAGACTTTCATGAAAGCATTATTTTGCAATTATTAATCATCTTGAATATCATTATAAATTGAGATATACTGTAAACAGCAAAGATATCAAGCAAAGAAAGATCTACAAAAAAGTCAACATGACCAAAATCGTCAATTGACATCTTATTGGTGTTATTGTCCTTTAAAGTTATTTTCTGCAATTAATTGGTAATTTTTGTAAATGTTTTTTTTTTCTCAAAAATCGTCTGCTTTTAATTGAACTACTTGGTAAAATTAAACAAAACTTGACCTCAATCATTATTAGGGTATCTAATACTATTCATTATGATTTTAACCTTATTTTGCATGATTTCCAAAACCACAGTAGATATAGGTGAGCGACAGAGGCTTTTGAGAGCCTCTAGTTTTCTTGTAAGAACTGTACATTTGTGTCTGCCAATTCAGGGCACAAACATCTAAAATTAGATCAAAGCAAAATATGAATGTTGTAATGTTGTAGCAAAAACAGTTCTTACTATTGTTTAGCATTGTTCAAATAAGGATAATACTAAAAACTTCTGTTTGACGCAACGTCTTCGTCACCTACAGTGTATGAATTCATGCTTCAAACATCCATAAATTTGCAATTAATTGGAATACAGATTTTGGATACACATTAAATTGAGCACTCAGTCAACGTACATAACAAAATGACATATAAAAGTTACAATCTTAACCAGTAGAAGGGTGTTTATTAATTATATATATTACATAAATCTGACGCGCTTTTCTTTGACTATCTTCACCAAGAACGCCTAATGTCAATCATTTGAAAATCAAGGGTATATAAATATACTGTAACCGTGAGGAGCTATATGTCGGAAGGGAAATTGAATAGAATATCCAAATTTATTTTAGGTCAATTTGCTTGAGGTAGTTTGAATCTTAGTTTCTCATTTATTTCTTAATTTTTTCACGGAAAATTTAAAACCAGTATATTACAAATCATGTCAGTACCAAAGCGCGGAAAACAGAGCTGATGATACTCTCGTGGACTTAGAGTCTACCAGTAGTGGTATCGACTACTTGATAGAAAATTAAAATAACACTTCATAAACTACATACGTCTGTTCATGATTTGTTTACTAGTTTCTGGTTTGGTTGCTTACAAACGTTTGAACAATTCATTGTCCTAAGTTTAAAACTTTACTTATCATTAATTGTTACTGTATCAATGTTATTCTTCGATTCAAGACAGAACAAATCAGCGATCAACTAAAACAAATATAATTCCCATTCAAGCACCAATTATTTAAAGATATACTGAAAGATGTACATTTAATTTCACTGTACAAAATTGTTGTCTTGTCGTATAAAGTGTGGAATAAAATGTTGAAGGTTTATTGACGCTTGCATGATTTTGTTCCGCTGACATGTTCTGATTACCATAGTCATAATTCCGATCTCGATTGTGACATCACCGGATGCGACTGGTTAACGGATATTTACTTAGCATTAACAACACGGAATGTGCCATTGAAGGAGTAAGGTCTGTTTATCCTATCGACGCCACTGAGAATTACCCCATATTTTTATAGATGTTCGAGTTGATCAGTGTTGAGTTTTCTGTGTTACATTAGGTAGACTGTTGTATGGATTTTCGCGTTTCCTATTTTTGCATGGTATTGATTTTCAACTTCTTATTATCTTTATGCTCCTCTTGCTGTCATGTACTTCTTTCGTTAATTGAGTCAAAGTTACCCTTACCCTTTCGAGCACCCCCAGTTTTTATGAGGTTTGTGTTTCGTAGTCTTTAGTTTTTACATGTAATAGTTTGTTTGTTTCTTCGTCGTCTTTTGCTATGGCGTTGTCAGTTCCTTATCGAAAGGCGAAAGATACCAAAGGAACATTCAAAGTTATAAGTCGATTGGATGGACTTATCAACTAAAATGTATGACTTCCATATCTGAAAAAGTCTACCACTTTTAAAATGTACGGGACGATTAAAAAACAGAAAATAGATGTATCAAGGGGCGAAATCGAAACACATAATTCCAAAAAGAAAAAAAGGGACAAAAAGGCAAACACAGGTTCACAAAAACAGTATTTTATTTTAAAAGCTTCCTTACAAGCAGCAGCCAATTGTATACAGTAGAGTTTGATCTGAGTTACCTACTGCATATATCGTACTGGTAATTTTACTAATGTAGACAGTGTTGAGAAGATTTGATCAACATCATCATGACCAATGGAGCAATAAATTACCGATTGAAGCTATCTTTAGTCTTCGATTGATAAAGTAGCTTTACATCATTTTCTTATAGAAAGATTTGTTTATAAAGAGTGATTATTATTGATAAGTTTTATTTTTATCTATAAATGTACCAGTTTTATTACCATGAATTTGATTATAATTTGGCAGTTTTTCAAACTTAAATTACTTACTTTATTGGTGCCGTTTAGGTTAGCAACTGTGATTAAAGAAACTGTCTCGATTTTTAACTTCAAATTGATATTAGGAAAAATCTTGTATTTTACAGGAACGTTATTAAAGGTGTTATGTGATTTTATCAGTAAATCCGATTACGACACAGACAATCTGAATGTTAAAAAAGGGGATGTTGTCAAACTAGTAGATAGTCGAGAAGGTTGGCATTGGGTAGAGCATGGTGATACCGAAGGATGGATTCAAACTAGTCTTGTTGAACCAACAGAAATCAGCACACTTAAAAGTAATACATTAATGTTAATAATGTTACAATGACGAAAGAAAATAAAATACAAATTGCATACTTATTGTTCAAAATTATGAACCAAATTTTTTATTTATACTAATCGAACCTAAATTTAGTAATGAAACGTAATGATCTGACTAGAATGTTTTTAGTTCGAAATAAATGTCATACATAACGTATTTTACAAGTGCTACTTCAAATGAGCCTGTTAACCAAATTTGCTGAGCTTACTTGATTAATGCCGTTTTCACACCAAACGTCGCATACTGTTAACCTATTTACAAGACTTTTCATGTAATGAACACTGTCTTGATTCTAACTTTGTTCTCATCTGTACATTGGTTTTAATGACAATTGTTCAAATGAGAAAACGCATATCTAATTTATTTAAATGTACATTGCATAGAACTAAAATGAAGATTTCTCTGTCATTTTCTGTTGGCACCGATAATATTTTATTTTTTCAGGGTGGGGTAGGAGGGAGATGTTCTTTTTGTTATAATTTGTTTTCAATAAAAGTTTCTTCGAAAAAAATATTTGTTTCGGTAGGGATAAAAAAAGTCTGTTTCCATTGACTATCATGGATACAAATATTAAATATTGAGTTTCAAAAAATTATTCCTCTTCCTGTTTTAAAGTTAGAACAAATTCTTTGTCCCAAGAAAAAAATGCTATTTGCCCCCTCCCCGAAAGAAATAAAAGATGAACGGTCGTTTTCTTATGAAACTATTCTGCTGGTTGGATTTCTTTTGGATTTCTAAGGATGTCACGATTACGTAATAAATAAGCGCAGACTACAGCAGCATAACAATAGTCTATGTTCAGTCATTTTAGTAGTTGTTATTCACCTGTATACATCAACAGTATACTGAACTGTATGGAAAGCTGCTGAACAGTTTTGAATTGAATGTAAACGAATTGTCTGATCATTACTGAATTTACAGCAGTAGATAATATACGTATCATTTATTGTTCAGACTATTCAGATGATCTCAGGGACATTCGCTACGATATATATAAAAAAAGGATTTGTTTTTTTCAATAATAAATGTAAATGAAATAGTAAAATATTTATTCGCTTTTAGCAGCGAGTTTGGCTAAATTTTGTCAAAATAAGCTAAGAAACATTGCCATTCAACTTAACCCCTTAACTAGAGATTATTAACGCATAAACTAGTCGTCTTAAGCTATTTAAAGGAAAAGAACGTCAATATTAGAAGTGAAAGAAGGGTAAACCATTTGGTTGACAGATTCGATCCACAAAAACTCATTCTTGTAAAATTAAAACGATGATTAACATATTTTAAACCTTTTTATATGAAATCGACCAGACCTAGAAAAATTCAATTGCACGTGTTTGTTATCTATTTATATCTATATTTATGTTTATATTTGACCGTCGACAGTCTTCGTAGGTCACCCTGATGGTTAATTAAATGGCGTCTAGACTATGATACAGACAAAATGCTGATACACATTATCGAGTACATGCATCATAAATTGTTTAATTTAGACTTTTTTAATTTGGATATACGTTTAGGTATGTTAAAAATCAAATATGAGACTAAAATGATCATTTCAGACTAAAATCAATTTTTCAACTAGTATATCATGTGTTACTTTCTTAAATTATAGGTGATTTTTTATGCACTTTCAATTTCAAGTACCTGTTTCCCGTCCTACACATACCCAAAATAAGTATGGATTTCTTTTAATTTCCAAGTCCTGTAGAAATTAAAGAGATTTTTAGTTTATGTGAATTGTGACAAGTTGAGTTCGCTTTTTGGTTCGGTTCACATCCGTACGATCTTTGGACGCTGACATATTACGTATATGCAATTATTATGTGGTTTTATCCTGATACTTAAATATATTTCTGTATTACAGACCGAATTCTAGTTTTCTGTTCCATCTCCATTTCTGTGAATATTCTGCAGAGAAATCTCATTTACTCTTTAAGTTAGAAAAGAACAAACAGTTTTTAAAACATGTAAGGTTTTCTGAATTCATGCACGGTTAAAAAGTGGGGTGTTATATCCCTAAATACAAGCTAGACTATGACAAGTACGTCCATTTTGCATTCGATGATGTATAACACAAACTCATCGAATATACAAGGCTTATCATTTGTAATGCCAGACGTTCGTTTCGTCTCATAAGACTCATCAGTGGCGCTCGAATCATAACAGTTAAACACAATGTTGAAGAGCACTGAATATATTCGTCGAATAATTTTTAATTGCGCTCTTAATATTGTTGCACCGTTTTCCTTGACCAAACTCCATGTATCAATCAAATATAAGGCAGATGTTACCTGTGAAAGAGGAAGAAACCGTAAGCAACTTATCAAACAGCCACACTAATTTCTTTTTTAAATCAAAATAGGGCAATAATTTTCAATTTTATTACTTAGGAACAGCTACTTGACGCAATGACAAACATCTTCTACGATATTTATTTTTAACATATCAAGTTGTAAAACCATATGCCACTCTCTTCATGATTGAGGCTCGAAAAAATAATCACCAGGTTTACCGAATTTCTCGCACCAAATGTTTTGAAGATAAGCTAGAAAAGGGAATCGTCCTCGATCTTGGCCATACTAAAAAGCTTTTTATTTGATGGCATCATATGCAAACAATAAAACTTAATGAATTAAAAATTATATATTTCAATAGGAAAACAAAAGCGATAATTCGATATCAAAGTCAAATGTAGCTGTAGAGTATCGAACACGTTGAAAGAGAAATGGTACAAATTATCCTTTTGTTGCTTTAGTGCTTGTCGTTATATTTTTCAATAGTCAAATATATAAAATTGCGGGAAATTATATGCTACTTAATTGAATAATAATATTGAAATTTGCGAGAAATCGTATCCCAATATGGGTTTTTAGGACAAATTCAGAGAAAAACAAAAATTGGAACAGATTTCTTGGAAAATGCAAAAGACTGACTAACACCTTACATTTAAATTGAGAACGTTGGCTTTACTAATATATTGATTTGTCTTGTTAATGCTTTTCTTATTGTTATTGAGGACTTTCTCCTCATATAAACGACAAGAAGAGGAAATGTTAAAAACAAAAAACAATGAAGGTGTGAAACAATGCATGTAAAAATGTACTTTTCTATTTATAACTTGACTTTGTATATACAATATAATGTCATTTTAAATCCATTCACTTTAGAGTTAAAAAAGGGCCGTCTTAGTTTAAATTGGATTTGTTAGATTAAGGAAAAAAAAGATAAAAACAGGAAATTTTAAAGATGCAAACAAAAAATAATATAGAAAAATGTTTTTATAAACATGTTTTATTAAAGGAAAAATGTACATAGTGAAACAGGCCTTCAAAAGCAAATCCGAATACGACACGGATAATCTTAATGTTAGAAAAGGTGATGTTGTGGAACATATACATGTAACAAGTGATGGAAATTGGATATGGGTTGTTCATGGTAATTCAGAAGGATGGATTCCTGACTACTATGTTGAGAAAACAGATAAGGAAAGTATTGCAGGTACATACATATAAAGACATTTGACAAATAATATAACATTTAAGGTATTGTCCACAAAAGGATTAATTGTTTACTTTAATATGTTATCTCTGTTTACTAGTAACCCTTATGTAGAAAACATTTCTTTATTCTTCGTGCTCAAGTCTCTGAAGAGTCCAAGTGTAGTACAGGTTCCGCAGTAGAAGGTTTTCTTGCTCTTTGTTTTGGTGGATTTAGCCTTTTTCATGGCGAAGAGACGCTCGAGTAGTGTTTCAATGACCACTTTGTCCGCTGTGGACAGTCGAATGTCTGATAAAAGGTTACACGTGTCCATGTCCTCAAGACTGTCCATCGTCCTGGTCTTCTTCGGAAATTCAGGTACTCCTCGATGAGACTGCAATAGTTAGTACCGGATTCGTATAATCTTTTCCTGTGCTGTGAGCAGTTGCTGAAAACGTCCAATAACTGGAATTCTGAATCTGACCAGAGAGTCTATACCAACTTACAGAACTTTCCACGTTTCTCTGTGAATGCTCCAGTAGTTTTATACATTTAGAATAAAAGTCAGCATCTAATTCTTTATCTCTTCTTAAATCGATATATCCAACCACTTTTTTTTACATATTTTCTTAATATGGTTCGAAAAGTGGTACAATATAAAAAAGGATTTTCATCAATATGTGTGATATCATACTAATTTTCGGCAGGCTGTCCAGGATCTACTTAAAATTCCGTTTCTGTCTGGAGTTCTTTTTCGGTGTCGTCTTTGCGTAGTGTCAAGATAACATTTGCGAACGATGTTTTGTTGAATTTCCTAGTCAGGATATATGAAGACAGGTTGTTTTCAATTTACTTTGTGTCGAAGCAAAGCCAACATCTGGTTTTAGGCGTTGTCACTGTCGCAAGGTGTCGTATTTTGAGAGACACAACAGGCATATTGTAGCTTATTTACTGTGCTGGTTCGAACAGTCAATTTAAACCAGTTGATTATGTTTTAAAAAAATAGATAAAGAATCAGATGCTAACTTTTATTCTAGTACTAATCCAAAAATGGTAAATAACTAAAATACAAAATAAAGTACGACTTTTCAATGTCTCAAATAATTATGAAAGTTATAAAATCATCTAGTACGGAGCAACGGAGTAGTTAGGAATGTAGCAATTAAATACTCCAATACGGCGTAGTCCTGAATGTTTGAAAGCATCTAATTTGATTTTTTAAATGCTACGCTGTGGTTGTCCACACATTTGGATTAAGAATGATTCCTGCTACAGTCCTTGTCAAGTGTTTGTACATGGCAAGGTTGATTTACAAAAGACGAGTATGAGGCTTCAGTAACACTAAAATGGTGTACGTTGATGTCCTGATTTTACTCCAAAAAATATAAAATGATCCTGAATACGATTACACATAATGTGTAGATAAAATAATGGAACTGATCCAACACAGGGGTTGCTGTCTATAAACATATATCCAACATTCCGTTTTGTTTAAAAGAAGTCACTTATAAGGAGGATGACAAATCGGCCAGACGATTGTAATGTCATGTTACTGTTGAAAAAGGTTATATGTTTTTGATTTATGAATCTAACTGAAGATACAAAATAATGTGTTTTTTAGGTTTCGAAATATCTACAATAAAGTGTTTTACCATTGATTCAAAACAGTTAAACATGCTACATGAAAATATGTGTTAAAGAGTTTTAACGCAAGAAATCTAAAGCTAGAGGAAACATTCAAATTAATGACATGTAAACGTTATGAGTTCCAACTACTGGCAAATCTGATCTTATCTGGCCTCTTTTGATGACACAGCACATTGTTAATCAATACAAATCTGCTTACCATTTTTTTTACTTTGAACGTTATGAAGGAAAGTGCCTCGGACGCAGCAAAAGTGTTTTTCGTATTATTTATTATTACGAAACAGTTAATACATACTTAGGAACGCCACAGCTGTCTTATATGTAACTCGCATACTATGTTATGTTGTTTTATTATTACTTGATGATATTTTGTCTTTACATAATATGGTTTTGACATTACGTAATGATGTTTTGATATAACTCAATATGGAATAGTCATTACTTAATGATATTTCGATATTACATGATATGGTTTCGTATTGACTTGATATAATTTTGTCATTACTTAGTATGGTTTTGTCATTACTCGGTGTGGTTTCACCATTATTTAATGTAGTTGTGTCATTAGGCAATTAGGTTTTAACATTACTTGATGTGTATGTGACTTAACGTAATTATTTCATTACATTATGTGGTTTTGTTATTTCGTAATGATGATTTGCCAATTCTTTATATGGCTTTAACATTACATAATGATGTTTCAAAATTTGACGATTTTACACTACATGATGTGTTTGTTTCAGTATTTGATGTGGTCCTGTCATTCTTTGATGTGGTTATCACATTACTTGATGAGGTAAAACCACGTGACCAATTCGGAAAAAAACTAGTTCTATTTTTAAATAGATTTCCATATTTTATGTGCCTTGGATGAGTGTGGCCATCCATTGAGTAAGAGTTCAAATTAAAGTTCGGGTTACTGTTCGAGTTAAACTTTGAGTTACAGTAGTCTTCGATTTCGAGTTAGAATACAAGCCATTATTAGAATTAAAGTTCTAGTTAGCATTGAGTTTCGAGTTGAACTTCGAGTTTGAGTCACATTTAAAGGTAGAGTTCGAGTAATAATTCGACTTCAACTTTGAATTTGAGTCACCTTTTGAGGTAGAGTTCGAGTTAGACTCGAATTTGAGTCTCATTTAGATTAATATTTCGAGTTGAAATTCGAGTTATCTAATATGAGTTGGTATTTAAATTTTCTATCGCGGATCAAGGGCTTTTGCTCGGGCTTCCGAAAAGAGGGCTCAGGGGTATACGTACAAAAGATAAACAATGTTACAGTATACAAAACACAACATAGAAATTGAAATAAAGTTAGATATGGTGTGATTGCCAATGAGACAACTATCCACCAGAGTTTTAATAAATTGGATGTAAGCAATCATAGGCAACCGTACAGCCTTCAACACACCGTATAGTCGGCTACAAAAGGCCACCTCGTGAAAATGTGAAACAATTCAAACGAGGAAACTAACGGTCTAATTTATAACTAAACAACCTACGAAAAACAAATATGACACACATGAAACAACGACAACCATTGAACTACAGGCTCCTGACTTGGGGCAGGCACATAAAGAAAGTGCACGTGGTGGAGTTTTGTATGTGCATGTATTTGAGCGCTAAACCCTAACCTAACATCGGACTGTAGTGTAACAGCACAACATAAGAAAAAAATGTAAAAAACAGTTTCAATTGGCTTAACTCAATAGATCGGTATGACTGGGTAATATAAATCCATCGGGGGCGATCTCGGGTGCTCCGGAAAGGTAAGCAGATTCTGCTCAAATGGCACCCGTTGTGTTATTCGTGAAAGTACAAACCCAGTGATTTGGTTTTATTTGGTAGTTCGCATTCGAAGAAAAGATGACGGGATTGTGGTTACGACAACTGGAACATATCCGTCGTCAACTGTGAAACAGATTTTCCAAAAAGTTTGTTTTTTTCAATTAGTGCGAGGTATATCAGAGAATGCAATTCTAAAAAATAAAAGATTGATATTCGTATATGTTTAAATGATCATACACGCTAAAAAAAAACCGGAGAATTCTTATTTTATAGAATTGATGCTTTGTTGCTTAGTCCAATCCCCCCCATTTCCCTGTAACTTTACTGTGAGTTGATTTAAAGTATCTCATGTGTTGACAATAAAGTACAAGTCATTTGATTTGTGTCGAGCCTGAGAAATTAATGTAGCGGCAGTAAGACACAACAAACCTATATTCCGTCGACGGTAGTGGCGTCGGCGTCTTCATCATTTAGATCGTTAGGTTTCACGTTTGAATTGTTTTTACATATTCATTTCGGGACCTTTTATAGCTTACTATGTGGTATGGGTTTTGCTCATTGTTGAAGACCACACAGTCACATGTAGTTGTTAACTTCTACGTCATTTGGAATGTGGTTGAAAGTTGTCTCATTGGCAATCATACCACATTTTCTTATTTTTATACCAGGATTTTTTTTGCATTAAATATTACCGAATTAAACTGTTTTGACATGATAAATTTGTAAACCTCCATGAATTGTTATAAAACTTGTATACGAGTTATTCTTCAAGATCAAGATAAAGCATCTACAGAAAAACATTTTTATTTAAATTTTGTTTTTACCGATAAATGTACCGACAAATGTACAGTTAACATTACGCTTTTACACTATCAGCAGCAATATCAGGCGAGACACAGGGTTCCGTGAAATCTTTTACGAATCTATTATAAAACTGCTTCCATTTGAGAACTAAGGAAAAAAACGGCAGGACCAAGTGGTTTAGGGATATCAAATGACAAAACCATATTAAGTAATGACAAAACTATTTCAAGTCAATACGAAACCATATCGTGTAATATCGAAATATCATTAAGTAATGACTATTCCATATTGAATTATATCAAAACATCATAACGTAATGTCAAAACCATATTATGTAAAGACAAAATATCATCAAGTAATAATAAAACAACATAAAGTAATATCAGAGTTCCACATAAGACAGCTGTGGCGTTCCATAATATACATACTGATAGTGTGAAATGACGTCTCCAGTCTACTTATGGTTATCAATATTTTATGCTTTACATTAACTGTCACTTTATTTTGTTTTTAAAAAAAACTGCAGCTCAAGCACATATTGAAACATCACAAAACAGATTTGATGCAAGGAGTGAACATATTTCAAAGGAAGGTAATCTACGATTAATTAATTTTTATGAAGACAACATATATGGAGCGTTTTATGTCAATTTTGCTGCACGAGAACACAGTTATTTCGTAGTGCATTTCTTTTAGACAATAAACTCAAATTAAAAAAAAAATCGCACCTGCTCTATCTCAAAAAGATTTTTTACAGTGTAGTGTACTACTATTGGGACAAATAATATCAAAATTATAGAAAAGACTACCAGCTCTAACTCAAAATATGGACAATTCTATGTTAAGGGGGTTTAAAATTCAGTTTGAGTGGGTAAGTCATACTAATTTTGACCTTTTTTAACAGGACCAAATCACTACTTAACATAAAGATTCAGCATGTAATTTCATCCCCTTACTTAGTATTTCATGCAAAAAATATCAAGAAATAAATTTGGAAAGTGTATGAAAAAAAAAGTTATACACTGTACACACTAGGGACTATATTCGTAGATAACGAAAACCAAAGGACGATAATTGTGTCCTCGGACCATCAGTCATTATTCCAATTGGGAGTAATTATTCGCCTGATTTCCTGCAATACGAGTACTTTGTGTCTTTTGTCTTTATGTGAGTTGTTTTTGTGCTTTATGTCAAAATGATGATTCAATCTACAATCTATGCCCAGCTGGTTTGTACCGTTGTTCTATTTTTTTTGCTGTTACTCAACTGTACCAGGTTAGGGGACGAGAAGTGGAACACTCCTAAAAATGTTTAACCCCGCCAAATTCTGTATGTGCCTGTCCTACGCCTGGAATCTGTGATTAAGTGGTTCTCGTTGGTTGCTGTCTGTTGTATTTGTTTTTCGCTTTTTTGTGTTTCCATAAATCAGGCACTGAATGTTGACGTTTGAATTGTCACACTTTGTGGCATGCCGTGGCCTGTTATTGGTGATTATACGGTATGGGTTTAGCTCATTCTTATAGGTCGTACGGTGACCAATATTTGATTAAATCCGCGTCACTTTGACTCGGTTGATACTTCTCTTATTGACAAGCATAACCTATCTCTTTATATTATATCGTACTGTTTAAACCATAATTTATTCAAAATCCTAACTAGCTTACCACAATAATAATCATTTTACATCTTATAAACACAATTATCTTGATATTAAGCTTATATTCCTCAATAAATAGCGCTTGACTCTTTAATCTTTATCAACGCGATGATTGAGGGTTCATGTTAACTGCTTCCGTGTTGGGAATAGCAACACACCACAAATATCAGTCTTTTTCTCGCGATCGGTTCACACAATTCCTAGAGCAGCTTCTCATTTACGAGCAGACAAGGTGCGACAGCAAATGTGTTAATGCAAAAAAAGAAAAAAAATATGTCGTGTAGTACGATTATAACGTCCCTTCATCAAATTTAAATAAGAAAAAAGTCGATTTGTTGATGTTTCAAATCAAATGCATTATTTGCATCATGGAATATATTACATGTTTTGTTGATAACTGAAAATTGCGTTCACATCAAATATGTATTGCATTATTAACTTATTTTGGGTACTAGTCACACATTTAAAGATCAATAAAATAATACTTTTTATATATTTTAAAATATATATAGAAGCATTTAGACTCCGTCCATTGTTCAATCATAATGCGTTGAGAAAGACAACTTTCAAATCCGTGATGAATTGATTGATTGATTGTGTTTAACGGCACTTTAAAAACTCTTGATTACATCATGGCGGTCGGTTTTTATTGGTGGCGGAAGTCGGAATATCCGGTGAGAACGACCAACCTTTGCCAGAAAAACTGGCAAGTCTTATCAATTAAAGTTGGAGTCAAACGCACGAACGGGGTTCGAACTCACAACTCATGCAGTGTTGACAGGGAAGTGATAGCTGTAGATGAATTACAGAAAAAAAAACTTAAATTCAATAATAATGATCAATAAATGAGTTTAAAGTTAATATTCATGCCAAATTAGTACGAAATTTAATAATTATTCGTCCAGCATATTTGAAACAATTGCGAAACCCTTACGTGCATATGTAGAGTGAAAAATCAGAAATCAAAAATCACAAATACTTGACATTACTGCTTACTTTTATAATCTCATTGAAAAAATTTCGAATTGTCAGGTGGTGTTCAACCGAAACTTAAATAATTTAATAAACAAAAACTATCTTGGACTGTTAATTATACTTTATAGTATTTCAGCTTGTCAAAATTGAGACTTTCCATTTCTATGAAGCAACATATGTAGGCGTGGTTTATTTCAATACACGGTTAGTAGTGGTGTTACGTCCCTTTGTGAAAACAACTTGGTGTTGAGGAAAAATCTGAAAAGTTTCAACAGACGAAGAAATTGATGATTGACGATTGAAATAAATTCATAAAACACATTAAAATCTAACAAGCTGTTATTGTTGGCATTTTTGTTTTGTATTTACCAATGGAAGTAGGTTCTTAATATTGAAAACCTGATCACTTTGATATGCCACTAGTTTAAGTACTACATGTTTAGATAGTTGTTATTATAAATTCGTTAAACAGTGTGCTAGTGACTTAATACGATATATATTGGGTCAGTTAACTCCTAATGGGGATTCGAGCTTCGCTGTCACCCCCATATGGAATTTACTGACCATCGGGATATATATCGTAGTAGGTCACTATCACACTATGTAACACATAATATCTCCTAGCTGTTACGATATTCCAGAGCCTCAGTTTCCTATCATGAATATCCCCGGTTTTGAAAATAATATGTTCTCCCTCATTCATGTAACGGCATGTCCCACGTCAATAAATATATCTTCCCATCCCAGTAGTTAGCACTTCTACGTTGACATGAATTATCATTGATATGGTCATAGTTATAAATTAACTAAAATTAACTAAAATACTAAGGCTTTTCTACCTCAGGACCCAAAAGGGTGACTGGGGAATAGAAGTATGGTCACTTAGTCTACTTCCGACCGGCAGTAAAACTCTTGCCAAAGTGAGGCGTCCGTTTGGCTGTGCGGGATGTACAAGTTTGCAGCCACGTCCGATCAGAATGGGGACGTTAACTCCGATGCCTCGTGTAGAGAGTGCCACGCTCTCTGCACGTTAAGAATCCTTGCAACAACTCTTTGAGGGGTCCGTAGGTGGCCTGATGCAAGGCAAAATTTCTGTCCCTTTCCAAAAACCCTTATTTTCCAGTGGCAGTCCAAATGTCCCCGACCTTCATCCCGGATGGCCTCTATTACAAGACCTACCTATTGTATTTATTGTTAACTTGTTCTCGTCCTGAACATGCATGAAATATTTGCCACTGGACGTTAAGCGACCAACAATCAATCAATCTACCTCAGGAATAGATTACCTTAGCTGTATTTGGCAAAACTTTGCTCTTCAACTTCGTTCTTTATTTGGCCTTTTTAACTTTTTTTATTCGAGCGTCACTGATTAGTCTTTTGTAGACGAAACGCACGTATGGCGCAAATACAAAATTTAAATACTGGTATCTATGATGAGTTTATTTCCCTAGATGAAAATTAAGCTTCATTTATCAGCTTTTTCAATTCGGTGGACGTGCGTCTATGCAATTTGTCAACATCGCAATCATCTCGAAGGAAATCGGTGGTCGAGTGGTCAAAGTAGTACCTTCAGTGATAACTAGCCATTCCCGCTTCGGCAATGTGCGTTCGACTCCAATCTTAACAGACTTAGATAGTTAGTTCTCCTACCGTCAAGTCTTTTATAAGTTTCAGTAATTGTTTTTGATATTTTCCTACTTTAAAGTCAGAGTTGTTCCGACATTTGTATTGCAATCAAACTGTTCAGTAGGTTTTCAGACAATTGTCCGAATACAGACTTAACAGTCTTAATTAACTACAAGTGAATTGTCGTAACAGTACTAAAATCGTACTAAATAGATACAAAGAACAAGAGTTAGCAATTCATTTTTTAATCTTTTAACAGCTTTGAAGATCAAAATGACATTTCAGTTCATATTTGGTTTACTAGTGACGATACCAAATACCTATCCTGATTGTAATGTCACGTAAAGATTCTGAGATAAGTCATAGTCGAAGATGTCAAAATCTAATATAATTAAAGAACCTATGTGAGCACGCTCACATACCCCACGCCCCCACATTGTCACTTGACAAACAAAATCTCACCAGATTCCTAAGTTCAAAGACTCATAGCTCTACAAAAGTCAACTGATAAACATTTTCTTGTGGATATGCACATTAACATATTATGTCCTCATTAACTACAAAGTTTCATGAAATCCTGTTGTGTGGTTTTAAAGGAGTTGCGATTACAAACTTTTCCAGTAGTAAATTCAAAATTCTGTTCAAAGGGGCATAACTCCTAGAAAAAAAATGAATCATAATTTCCTATCGATATGCACATCTACATAGTACGTCCTTATTATCTACAAAGCTTCATGAAATTCTGTTGTGTGGTTTCAGAGGAGTTGCGATGACAAGAACAGGACTGACGGACTGTAGTATATTGAGGCCAATAAGTTCAAAGGGGGCATTTCTCCTAGAAAAAAAATTGAATCATAATTTCCTGTCGATATGCACATCTACATAGTATGTCCTTATTATCTACAAAGTTTCATGAAATTCTTTTGTGTGGTTTCAGACAGACGGACAGGTCAAAAACATTATACCCGACGCAATAAATTGCGTGGGGTATAATAAAAAGCTGTGCAAGATGTCCGTATTCAGTTTAGGTAAACATATTCCATGTTGGGCAACCAAATACTGATGACATCTAACAAACTGAATGCATTCAACTCAACCACTAGCAGCCCTTGCTTCCGTAAATTTCAAAGTGAAACTCGAGGTGTTTCATCTGAAAAAGTGTGGTCAAGTTTCCTTTCAACAAATCGCTAAGGATTTTGAAGGTGATAAAATTGCTGTCTGTTTTAAAAACACAATTCTTTTTAATGGTATTTTAAGCATTCCATCAGTCATCTCGACTAGGCATTTTGTTTGTGGTATGTCGAGATATTGCAGCTTTGTAGACGGTATTGCATTGTGTCGTTGTGTTTTATTAATTTGTATATTTACAACCTTTAACACGACTTATCTTAAAGCTTCTATCATCTACCTTACTTTTCTTTATTGAATAAAATAGAGAATGGAAATAGGGAATATGCCAAAGAGACAACAACCCGACCAAAGAGCAGACAACAGCCTATTGAGGTGAATGCCGACATTTTTGTGCTTTGTAAAGAATATTACCATAAAATATTGGATGTGAAATACCTGAACGTATAAGATGTCTGCATGTTGATTTATATTTACGAATGAAGATTATTTTTTCAGAAACAACTGGTGCACATAATAAACAGTTAGATAAATCATCGGATTATGAGATCGAGGAGATCTACGAAGGTATAAGTAGTTTATTTGCAACAATACGCAAAAAATAAGGAATTAATGAAATCACACCAGTATGGCTGTTTTAAGATATGTATATATATATATAGCTTTAACAGCGTAGGAACGAACAAATAATAGTATAGAAAGAGTTTTTGTTCCTTTAAATGCTGCGTTCACCAATAATTGCTATCAATTATTCAAATGATTTCATCGCAAGCAGAGGTTTCCTTAAATCTTCAGTTAAACATCTAACTTATGAAAAAATGTGGACTGTTTTATTACTCATTTGTATGTACTGCTTATAAATAGACTAAGGACCAGCGTTTGTAAATAGTAAAGAGATGGCTCTTAAAATTGTACAAATGTCATAATCACTGGTGACCAATGATATATTAAAGATAATATGTTTCTACATCAACTTATGACCAAAAAACGGGTATCGGGAGTGCAACATACACTTTTTTCAAATAAGACGTGCGTCTTTGGAATATATCAACATCTCAATAATTCCGAAGGGCCTCGGTAGCCGAGTGGTCTAGGTAGTTTCTAAAGTGATCACAAGCAATTCAACACTGATGTGAGATTGTGCCCCGCTTCGCTTTTGTGTTCCTTGTAAAATAGAAAAAGCACAGGTGCAAAGGATCAACAAGTATTAACTTGCAAAATAGTTGTTGAAAAAAACAATACAATGAAATAAGATGAAACTTTCATACCATATTCATTTGAATATGTTAATGAAATTAAATTATTACATTCCACACAAATCAATCAAAAGCCAAAATAGTATACGTCTATATTAGGCTTTTCAATACGCTACTTTAATTTCAAAATGCTCGTAACATGTACTAAAAAGGAAAAACAAGTGTATGTTAAATATACACACAATTTTTCCTGAAATTCCCAAGCGCGTCTACGAAATAGGACCCAACATGCAAGATTCATTTCAATTTATATATCAACTTATGTCTATTTTTTTCTCATGTGGTAAAAAAAAACTCCACGTTGTTTTAGGTGATGCACCGCCACCACTTCCAGAACGAAACTATGTTACTGCTAAAAGTATGTAAGAAATTATATAGTTAATATTTTAGATAAATGTATTTGTATCGGTGCTTATATTTGTCCAGTAGAATTATATTGACCCTCCCTTACTTACTTTGGTTAATGCGCTAGTGGTAGTTCATAAAGATTGTTGTTGAAATTATTGTTGACATTGATATGATTCAAAATAGTATGTGCATTTCGTGTACAAGAGACTCATCAGTGTCGCTCGAATCAAAACATTTGAAATTTCAAATAATTTACAAAGCTAAAAAGCATTGAGAACAAAAAACTACTAAAAGGTTTTGCCAAATACAGATAAGATCATTTGCATGTGGTAAACAAAAATCCTAAGAATTTCAAACAATTCAAAATTTTGTAAACAGTTGTATAATTAATATTACCATATCATAATTTATATTGGTATTGTCATTTGGTCAGACATAACATATTTACCACTGCCTTCAAGTGTGGTCTTTTTTTTTCGTAGTTCCCTTTCCAGTTCTTTGTTTTGACGCCTATATGGTGTAACGATGGACAGCGACATTTTTTTTTGTCAGATAAAATAACAAAATCCTAAAGGAAATCTCATTAAAAACCTGTCCTAATTGAAGGCAATACATTAAATTGTTGAGTATTATTCTTTTGTCATAGAAAAACCATTGAATATGAATCGTATACAATTTATATTGTCCACAATCACCTGCGTATGTATGCAATGTTGGTGTGTGTGGCCGGAGTAAATTGTTCATGGGGCTCCGTGCGTGGACGGTAAATGACACCTGAGGAGGCGTCTATTGTGTGTTAGACCTTCTAATTCAGATACTCATATTATAGTAAATCATTATATTGTTTGAAATTCATGACAAAGCCTTCAACTAACTGGAGCTGGATGGTAAGTACTACTTTTTATTTCACAGCTCTCACTTCATTATGTTCATACGAACAACTTTTCACTTAAGCAATTTTTAAAAATTTTATACCAGTTGATCAGTTTGTGGGAGAAAAATTCAAACTGCAAATTTGTATACTGTTTTAGCCATTGATATTGTGATACCCAAAAGTCCACTGAATCAGCACAGTAACACGTTTATTAACTTAGCACGTTAAGTTTTTTTTTTTAGATTATGTGATAAGGGATTTAGGCGCTTAAATTTTTAGTGTTTTGGATTTAACGCGCTTAGGTACATATTGTTTTGATTTCAAATGCCCTTTTTAGTAATCCATTTGAACTGTTGTTTGTGATTCTAATATGACGTGCTTCTTTCGCTTTGTAAACAACACCGTGATTAAATTCTCGATATATCTATACTTAGCGCAGGCTCAGAGATGTGCATATTGGTGGCTGTTACTATTTACCTCCCACGTAAATCCACATGTATCGTAACCTATGTGCAAACACTATGTCGATTTCGTTATGTTCAAATTGAAATTGAAAAAGAAACTACAGAACCGTTATTCCTATTATAATGCATAACAAAAAGAATTAATGCACGAGAGCTTAAAAAATGTATAAAATCAAAATAAAATAAAATTCCGCGAAATTTCATGAATAATCTTGGCGCATTAACGTCATGTCATAACATGACGTCATACGAATGAAAACTCTCAAGCTGAAGGTTTTCCGTTACGTATACGCCCAAAATTCGGATAATATTGCATTAAAATGCAGTTTTGAGGTAGGTGTCGTTTCATTTTCTATTCCATTGCATTATTTGCACATTTGTGGATTTCAGCAAGTCAACATGGCGGCTTACTCCTTAGTTACGACATGTCAACTCTGGATTTGACAGTAAATAGTAGCCAACGGAAAAATAGGTTTGGGTTAAGAATTATGAGAATTGAACACATTTTTTCTAGTGCTTAGTTGAGAAATAATTCATGTAAGACTTAGATTTATTTGAAATGTGTAGCTTTTATCTTACAGGGGGTAAAATAGAACAGCCATACACACGGCAATCTTACCTTCGTTTCAGTTTTTAAATTACCGTATTTGTCCTATTAGAATCGAAATAATTGTGTCTGTTTGTATCTAACAAATCTCAAGGGTTGAAATTCATAATAACATAAACATGATTAACCCATAGAAATTTCTTACATGTGTTTGCACTAGCTTGTCATGTACAGCCCTTGGATGGTGTAAACTTCCCAAAAAAACGTGTATGGTGTAATGGTGTATGGCATATGGTGCAATGGTAGAAGGTGTATGGTGCTATGTTGTATGGTGTAAGGGGAATGGTGTAATGGTGTAACGTGCGAATGGTGTGAATGAATGGTGTACGACATTTAAAACTATGCAAAATATTGATTTTTAATTTTATACATTAATTTACAAAATATATTAATATTGTGATCAAAATTCGTTTTTTTAAATAAATAAATAATTTTGTAGTCGTACGCTTTCTTTGAAATCAAATTGCATTATGGTGTAATATGTAAGGTGTATGGTGCAAAGGTGTATGGTGCAAAGGTGTAACGTGTATGGTGCAAAGGTGTCACGTGTATGGTGTAATAGCACAGGGTGAATGATGTAATGGTGTATGGAGTTAGTGGGAAGTTTACACCATCCAAGGACTGTACATGTCATATGATTGATTGCAAAAGTAGCTCCGGTAAATTCTGAGATAAGTCATAGTCGGTGATGTCAAAATCTAAAATTCGAAATGCTGTGCGAGACATTCGTATTCATTTGAGGTACACATATTCCATGTTGGGCAACCAAATCTTGATGGCACCTACCAAACTGAATGCATTCAACATTACCATTAGCGTAAATTTCAAAGTGAAACTCGAGGTGTTTCATCCGAAAGAGTGGGTTCAAGTTTCTTTTCAACAAATCGTTAAGGATTTTGAAGGTTGTCTGTTGCAAGGTAAAATTGCTGTCTGTTTTAAAAACACATTTCTTTTTTAATGGCATTTTAAGCATTCCATCAGTCATTCCGACAAGAATTTTGTTTGTGGTATGTCGAGATATTGCAGCATGTAGACGTTATTGCATCGAGTGGTTGTGTTTTAATAATTTTATGTCTACAACCTTTAATATCGCTCACCTTCTATCATCTACCTTACTTTTCTATATTAAAGATTTTTTTCAGACAAAACTGGTTCGCATGATAAACAGTTAGACAAATCATCGGATTACGATTCCGAGGAGATTTACGAAGGTATAAGTTATAGTTTATTTAAAACAATACGCAAAAATATGAAATTAGTGAAATCACACCAGTATGCCTGTGTTTAGATATGTATATAGCTTTAACAGCGTAGGATCGAGCAAATAATAGTATAGAAACAGTTTTTGTTCCTTTCAATGTTGCGTTCACCAATAATTGCTATCAATTATTCAAATGATTGAATCGCTACCAGAGGATTCCTCAAATCTTCAGTTAAACATCTAACTCATTAAAAAAGGTGTTCTCTTTTCTAAATCATTTGTATGTACTGTTTATAAATAGGTTTAAGTAGTTTCTAAAGTGATCACTAGCCAGTCAACACTGATGAGAAATTGTGCCCCGCTTCGGCAATATGCGTTTGACTCTGATCTTAAATGACTTAGTTCGTACTTTCTTAAAATGCAACTCTTGATATTTAATGTGAAAAAGTAAACCCTCACCTTTGTGTTCAAGTTATCTTCCAACAAATAATTTAAAAACAGTTTGAATGTGGCCTGTTGCAAGACAAATTTACCCTCTCTTTTCAAAATATCTCTTTTTGTAATCGTTTTACATGTTTTAATAATACCATTTAACTTGTCGAGCAACTACGTTCGTATCAAGTAGCAACATTGCAAGGTTATAGACGTTTCTCCGCTTCTAGTATCGAATTGTGTCGTTATACTTTTATTATCTAGTGTGTTATCAACCTTAAACCTCTCCAATCTTCTATTTTCTATATTAATTTTTTTTCAGACCCGACATCATATGATAAACAGTCTGGAAAACCGTCGGATTACGATTACGCTTACGCGGATTTTAATCCCAAGATTAATAAAGGTACAAGTTATAAAATTGAGAATGGAAATGGAGGATGTGTCAAAGAGACAACAACTCTACCAAAGAACAAAAAACTGCCCAGGCCACCAATGGGTCTTAAACACAGCGAAAAAAATCCCGCACCCGGAGGCAGTCTATAGCTGACCCCTTAACAAAATGTGTACTAGTTCAATGAAAATGGACGTCACACTAAACTTCAAAACATATAAATAAATTGAAATAGAAAAAAACATACAAGACTAACGAAGGCCAGAGGCTCCTCACTTGGGACAGGCGCAAGAATGCAGCGGGTTTGAACATGTTTTGTGAGAGCTCAACCCCCCCCCCCCCCCTATACATCTAGCAAAAGTAGAATAAAGAATCACACAGCAATCTTTCAAAAAAGCAAAGCTGAAAAAGAATGAATAAGATGAAAGCCACGAGTATGAAAAAGAATAAGCAAAACCGTTAACTCTGTATTCCAACTTCCTTTGTGAGAGATATATGAAATAGCAAAGTAGAAATGAATCCAAGTTCATGAAGTTCAGACAGAGCTTTTGTTTCTTTAAATAAATGTTGCTTTCAGAAATAATTTAGACAATATTTGAAATGTTTTCACAATTTGAAGCTGATTTCTAAACACTCTAATATATACCTAGTTGAATTTATGATAAATCATTAGCATACACTGCTTACAAATGTTCTTAAACCCTGCTGACTGCCATTGGTGATTGCCAAATAAACGGATCAAGGGTCAGCAGGGTTTAAGAACATTTGTTGTTCGACCTGTTAGTCAAATGCGTTTTCTTAAAATATACTTTTTCACTTTTTTGGTCTTTTGGAAAATGTTGTTTGTGCTGTATTTAGACCCCTCTAACAAGAAATTTGTTTTGCATGCACACGTATAAAAATTGCGGTTTTTATCCAACGCAATCATAGGTTTGAACGTTGTTTTCAATTTAGACTTGTTTATATTTTTTCGTTTGGGCTTGTATTATATTTGCCTTCGGGTTTATATGATCCGTTCACCCTATTTTGACTCCTCGAAATTCACGAGTCTTTCCTAAATTGATGTAAATTGTATGGCTTTCCAAATACCGTTTCGATTCCTATCATCACTGAAGAGACATTAATTGTCGAAATCCGGATATGGTGTACAAAAACCTTTGCACCTTTTGTTTGCGGTATATCATCTTTTCCGCAAGTTTATTGTTTTCTGTTTATAATTAAATTTACAATTAAGATCCATTTATTACATCGGTGATCCGTTTATTTGGCAATCTCCAATGGCAGTCAGCAGGGTTTAAGAACATTTGTTGTTCGACCTGTTAGTCAAATGCGTTTTGTTAAAATATACTTATTCACTTTTTTGATATTTTGGAAAATGTTATATATATATTTATATATATATAATTCGTCTAAATAACAGCCCAACAATGTTAGATCTGTAAATTTGCGGAAGCACATTTTTGTTCTTCCCTGGCCGGGATTCGAACTCATTCTATTGGGATATCGAAACAATACCGCCTGCACTGTTGTCCGGCGCTCTAGACCACACGGCAACCTAGACTGAACTAATAGTTCAGTTTTCGGTGGCCTAGTGTTACCTGTCCTCGTCAGTAGAGTTGTAACACAGTACATGATATATTAGGCATGAAGGTGGAATATATATAGATGTGTATATTCCTATGAGACAACAACTCAGCGTCAAAAATAAGCAAGCGCCATCTACATGGAAAATACACTTTTCAAAATAAGACGTGCGTCTTCGCAATATGTCAACACCTTAAACCAGTTTGAAACCTGATTCTGCATGGTATGTTCGACTACGATCTTAATTGACTAGGATTGTAACTTTTCCTGCCAAAAGCATGTGGTTCTCGCTGTGTAAACCTTTTTAGTCCACCAATAAAATATAAAATATACTCTCATTACCAATTGTGTTAAAGGAAACGTTAAACTGAACACTCATAATCCATCAGTCAAACTGTGAACAAGTTGTGTATATATTTCACAGAAAAATTATAAAGATCTAGAATCAAGACAATATCTTTCACAATACCTTTCTATCTCCGCTTTGAAAACATACTCGCCCAATGCGACTTTTCATCTGATTTTGCATGACATGCTCAACGTCATCCTTTAGTGTAATGCGTTTATTTCTACACATTTATTTATTAAAGTATTATTTTATTTCAGGCTATGTCAATGTATCAAAAGACATTTCTGAAAAAAAGCCCGGTGAAGAACCTATTTATGAAGATATAGGTGAGAGTAGGAGTTGAATTAAATACAATACAGTACAATGACAAATACAAATATCAATACAACATTAGTTCCTTAACAATTTCCTGGAATCTCCTTTTAAATTCTAAAAAATGTGACATGTACTGACAAATATATAGCCAAATCTGTAAAGAAAGTTTATCGTTTGATCCATAGAAAACTACCGTTACAAGATAGATGACTTTTGAGGATCTAGGTTCAAAATGTATGTGTATTACTACAGCGAGAGAAGAAGAGGGTTATCTGAAAACACTTGTATTTATTTATTGAAGTGATCTTCATAATTTTTGACTGACAAATCGTATTCATAAGCATAGGATTTTTATAGAAATCATTGCTATCCACATAAGATATGTTTACATCATTGACAAGATCATTACCCAAAAAAGCATTGGCACATGGATGTCATTACTGAAGTTATTACACTGACATATCATCATGTGGATACAGGGGGATTTCAGGTATATGTAAAAAATAAATCAGAGATAGTGTTGGCTAAAATAAGGTAGACTGAGTCAGGTTTTCAAAGATGCATATTTTGAAGAATAAGATTAAATTGACTCAGGGAGAAGCTGAATGAAACTAACATTTAACTAATGTACATGCATTGTAGCTTGTATATGATAAATAAGTTTTGCGTATTTTTTTATGCTAAATTTTGATAACCTTGTAAATACGCTTTATTTTAGGGCCAAAAAGGAGTCTTAGCGGGACTACTCTTTAAGCAAGTTTAATTTTTTTTTTATTTTTTCGTTCATATCATTACTTACAATATGAGAAGAGTATAAATATTTCCTAGAATGAGATTACAGCAAATTATGTGTATTTCGTGGTCACACAAAGGTACTTACTAGATCTACAATTAGAAAAAGAATATTTTCGGTTCCTTAACAGTTTAAAACAGTAGAAAAAACTTATAACGAGCAAAAATTAAATGTTAATTTATGAAATTATCATCTGCAGTTTTCAAATTTGAATAATATAATCATTGATTACTCACATGCAGTTGTTTGCTATTATGATATGTACGTTAGACATGTCCACTGACGCAAGCAACATATAATTGCTGACACTTCTTTTGTATAAGAAAATGATATCTGGTTTCCATTGGACTAAGTTTTGCTTTAACATTAATTTTAGGATTCTCTTTTTAATGTTTCGTAAATAAATGGTTTCTTTTTATCATTACCTTTTTTAAATGATGAGGTCATGTTGAACTTTCTAGTCGTATCATCAAGACATTAAGTTCCTTTTTATTAACATATATTTGTAAATTTTAGACAACTTCAAACAACTAAGAATTGTAATGGTTGGAAAAACAGGATCGGGTAAGAGTGCAACTGGTAATGCTATCCTTGGAAAGAAATACTTCAAATCGAAAATGGCAGGCTTGTCTGTTACTAAAGAGTGTCAACGTGGTGAAATCGAAATAGGTGATCGCAAAATCATTGTAGTTGATACTCCCGGATTATTCGATACCAAATTATCACCTATAGAAATTGAAGAAAATATACTTAATTGTGTTCATATGACTTTTCCGGGACCACATATATTTTTACTTGTGCTCCAGATTGGTAGATTTACTACAGAAGAAATTGAATCCCTTGACCAGTTATTTGATATATTTGGAAAGGAAATGGAAGCTTTTTCGATTATTCTATTTACTAAAATGGATGAATTGGAAAATCAAAATGATACTATTGAAGATTATATAAAAGAATCGGGCTCGCCATTAACAGGGTACATTGAGAAATGCCACGGGCGTTATTTCGCTCTAAACAATTCAGCTACAGCGGAAAATAAAGGGGAAATGGTTCATAAATTACTGAATTTGATCGACACTGTTGTCAAACAAAATCAGAACATGTGCTTTTCAAACAATATGTTTAAAGACGCTAAAATAAGTGTACGTGAATCACGAAAACAAATAGAAATGGAAAACTTAAAAGAAATTGAGCAAATTGAACACGTGTACGGAAAACAAGTTGACATAAATAGAGAAAAAAAGAAACAAAAACAAGAAGAATTTAACATGCAAGCAGAACGTAAACACAAGCTTGAGGAACAGAAGAAAAGGATGAAAAATTCCCAATTGTCTTTTAAAAAAGGTGAAGATGAAAGCAATACTCCGAGACCTGATTCCGAAGAAATTGAAGAACTTTATAACGAAATTTTCAAAGCCAATATCCTGTTAAATGAGAAAGAAAGAGAGAAGGAAGAGGCAGAAGATAATTATGAAAAAGTTAAGGAAGGTTTTAAAGAGATGGTAAAAGAAACTAAAACGAAACAGAACCAGCGAATGTTAGCATTGAAAAACACCGACTTTTATGATCAAATGAATTCAGCAGTTGAGGAAATGAAATCAATCGACGAAAAACTTCAAGAAATTGCGAAGAAAATGAACGAGGAAGGAAATCGTCAAAATATGACCATCCAACAACAATTACAGAGAGAGGAAAACGAGTTACATTCTGAAATGGATAAAGTATTTTCTGATCATCGCATGTATCTAGAACAAATGAGAAAAAAGTCGAAGGAGATGGAAAAACAACTGACAAAAAAAGGAAAATTGTGTCGTGTTATGTAGCTTAACAAACTAAATGGAATATTAAGAAATTTGGCTACCGTAATTAAACAAAGTAATTTTATCAGAACAAGATGACTTGGTGAACATTAGCCTACATGTATATAAATGTGAAATTAAACCAAAACTCGCCTGCTTTCTAGGCGAAAGTTTCGGTGTACAATTAAACACATTGGTGTTATTTGTCAAGCGATATTGATGACACAGTGAATGCATTGATGTATTTCTAAGTATCTTTTTTATCGTTACCAATTGGTACTTTTATCCTTTCTTAGTAATTTATCACCTACATGTATGTATGTATGACACTTTTTCAGACTACGTCTACTAATAGAAAACTAACCGCCATGATATAGCTAAGAGTGTCGAAAGTGGTTTTTAACAGCAACAAACAATCATTAATTCTTCAATATCTTAGAATGTATTTGAATAAAAAAAATGACTCCAAATTGCGTTGGTAAAACTGAAATGCGATGGTTTATCCTGATTGTAGATCATTATTCACAATAATCAGCAACGTATAAGGTATGCGTTTCTGTCTCTGCTGAAAGACTACCACTAAGCACGATTTTTATTGAAAGGTAACCGTAATAAATCAAAATCGTACAGCGTAGCATACTCGTAGCATAGACAAAGCTTCTTTCTATTAAAGAATTTAATATTGAGGTCAACTGCCTACAGTCTATATAAATATTATTAGATTGTTTAAATTCCAAGGGTTTAAATATGGATCATGGACTTTATCCTGCCAGCAATGAGAATCATCAGCTGTAGGCGCACAATTGACTGTTCTAGGAGTATGAAGACACAGCTACTTCCAATTAGATATAAGTCCTTTAATAAACGCATTAGGTTTATGAGAAACAAATATAAACAGAACTCCAAGGTAATTTAAAAAAAGTCCACAAAAGCTGACAAATTCAAATCGATAGACTATATTAACCAACAGAGGAAAAGGAAAACAATTGTCGTATTCCTGGCTTGGTACAGGCATTTTTCGATGGAAAAGTTGAGTTATACCTGGTTGTATAGCTAGCTAAACCTCCCATTTGTATGACTGTATTTTATTGTTCCGTTACATTGACAAGATTGGGTGAGCAACCTCAATAGATATAATTGGTTAAATGTCAATAATTTGGATCCAGCAGCCAAAACTGTGTAAACATACACCTTAGAAATACAACTAAAATGACTAAAAAAATCCCAAACAAACATACATATAGAACTGACAAAGACGCCTTCATTTTTTTTTATAGTTTTTAACAATCATACACACTTTCCCGATAAAGTACAAAATAAGTTAAATATACAAGTAATTAAAACAATATAAATACCTAATAAAAACCAGATATGTCTCCGAATCGTACCGCTAGACCAACTGCATCTGGAACTCCGTAAGCCAAAAACCCGAACATTGGATGTACAAATACCAAGCCACGTCAAGAGTCATACGACTAATAGGAACATATTAGGAGAAGCCATCAAAATACTGGACTTTTTTAAGCATACTTATTATAAAGTCAAAAAAGCAAAAAAAAAAAAAAAAAAAAAAAATACTGGACTTTTGTTTATCGACAAAATGTTTGTTGAATTGATATAACAAAAATCGGTATTCAACGGCGTAGTAATTGTGCACCTCTACTGGTCGACTTGTTTTAGTACTCAAATGCAGCAGAATTTATACAGAACCTTTTCAAAAAGCAAACCAAAAACTTGCAAAATATTACTCAATACCCATATCTCAGTAAGTACTTATATCTTAAATATCCCAGTAAACTTGAGAGTAGGGAGACAACCGTAACTAAAAACTGGTCTCTTTCTCATATTTATCTTTTCTTGACATTGACATAGACGGTCGAATCAAAACAAAAATCAATTACATACACGATAATATTAGCTTTCCAATTGCAAACTCCTCGTTTCTAAGTAGTAACATATATCTTTCTTAATACGCTACGCTCGTGCATGCTAATCAGTGCTTCGACTTGGACAGGATTAACAGCATTGAATTATTGAATTATCCGTTGATGTATTTATAAATAATCTAAAACCTAATTTGTTCCATCTCCCTCATGCAAAGTTGACCAAATACTGGTTGCGGCTACTTTTGGTCATATATAGCACATGACGTTCAGCTATTTATTAACTCCTGTTTTTCAACTTTGTTTGAGTGTTTCGTATGAAAATTCGATACAGCACTTCCTACTCACCAAATTTATAAAGTGTAAAATTCATTCACGTTATACAAACTTCATTAGCTGAAATTTGCTACTGACACAAACAATACTCCAACATTGTTTTACACTCTCAATAACGAATGAATTGATCGTTACGATATGTGTGTGTCTCATGTTTTTCGCATGCTTATCTGTTTAGATACCGGAATATGCGTCTGGCCTGTAACTTAAACAATTGTTTCTTATTCCCGACCGTGAAATTTTGACGCACTATGGATTTTTATGGAGATTGATGCATGCACACCAGTAGATTCTTACCCTATCGTAGTCCAAATAATATGACGTCTTGAAAGGCTATTATATTTTTTTACTTTGATGCCTTAGCAAAAATATATAATAGCAATTCAAGACGTCATTATTATTTGGACTAACCCTATCGATGCACCAACTCGCTCTTTTGGTACACTTGCAATTCCTTTATAAGTATTTTTTAATTGGTTTGTATCTTCTTAGTTGATGTATGAGAAAACATCGGTAATAAGTAAAATAAAAAAATACTGAACTCCGAGGAAAATTCAAAATGGAAAGTCCCTAATCAAATGGTTAAATCAAAAGCTCAAACACATTAAACGAATGGATAACAATTGTAAACTACTGTGTCCTCTAATTTGGGAATTGGACTTGGCAAAATTTCTGCCCTTACACATTTTTTTCAACTAGCTTTCGACATTTCTCGCCTTTTATTAAGGGTTACAGATTTATACATACTCATATAAAATATTTTGTTTAACAACTACTCATAGTGATTTTCTGTTATCTGCAATTTTTCCATCGAGAACCACAGGGCCTAAATCAATCATGGACAAAAACAAAATGTTTTTTTTTTACATTAAGAACAAGTGACGAAACTTTTCATTGCAAAGCAGTTATCTTTTGTCTGATAATAAACAAGAAATTGCGTCTTTAAACGCCTTGTCGTGAATGAAGTCAAAATAATAGACATTGGAATATTTGTTTTGGCTAAATTATTTCCGAAAGTTCACAGCTGACAGACAGAAAATCTAATTGTTTTGTTATTTTCTGTTGAACCTACAGTGGCAACAATGTTAGATTAAATTAAAAAGAGGAATGCATTTTGCCTGACGGACCTTTCTAACGTTTTGTTAAGAGTCTATACATACCCCACAGTACATAGAACGTGTCAATCTCCCTCAACGAGGCATATGGAATGTAAGCATCTCCATCATATCCCAATGTTCAGGATGTTCATTACTTTTTGTTTTTTGGGAGAGAGAAAAAACTGCATTTTACAGGTATTAAACTTTAACTGACACACGACTTTTTCTTTTTAATTGTTTATGTTTGTAAGAGAGCCATGAAACGTCTTTTTTGGACACCAAGTATTAAGCTGAAAAGGTAGAGCTATACTCAAATGACTAAAAGGAGATGCGTGATATGCGTTCAATTCAAAAGTTTCCAACTTTAAGGTGAAAAAATATTTTAAATATTATCAACTTGGATTTAAATAAACTCATTATAGATACCAGGATTGATATTTTGTACTCCAGACGGACGTTTCGTCTAAAAAAAAAAGACTCATCGGTTACGCTCGAATAAAAAAAGTAAAAAAAAAGTACGAAGTTGGAGAGCAATGAAGACCCGAAATTCCTAAAAGTTTTGCTAAATACAGCTAAGGTAATCCATTCCTTGGGGGTTGAAAACTCCTGATTATTTCGAAAAATTCACAGTTTTGTTACCAGTTAATTCATAATTATAAGACCACATGGAAAACTGGAACGAAATTTAATAATTCCAAGTCCATAAATATGGTAATAGGGAAACTAACTTCAACATAGCCTTTTTATTTTCAAATATATGCTTGCCTTGAATAGACAATTATTTAAGTATAATGGTATTTTTGACAAATACTGCGACCATCTGACTGAGATATGGTTACCATAGTATAGTCATATCTTTACTGTATGTTATCGTTTTGTGCATCTGAACGAACTTGTATTTTCAGATGAAAACTCGAAAAAAAAATCAATTATATGGGAATTAATTGACACACATTTTAGGGTACTCCATTAATCAATATTTTGGTTGTTGTTTACTTGCAGTTCATTGGTAAACATTTCTAACAACTTTAAGACAAATACAATGTAAACAATATACCAAATAAGTGCAATTTAGGTTCTGAAAAGAATCGTTAATCTAGATAGAGGCAGTAGTCACCATGAGTGGTTTTCGTATACATGTATTTTCCAATATGGCAGACCAGAACGGCATCTCCCTTTTTCGTGGATACTGATGCATGCATTCATCGATCCCACTTCATGAAGTTACATGTTTTTTATATATCGGACATCGTTCTTTTATATATCCATGTGTAAGGAATTTTTATTGAAGGAAGGTTGAAGCGAAGTTACATATCGTAAGGCGTTGTGAACTGGCCAGCGTTCTGATTATATAGGCATTTCCAATATTGGTTATTATTTTATCAACACTACAATCTCCATTACATGCTTGTAAGCGTTACATATTGTGATAGTCATGCATAAAACGCCACTCTGCTGACCTACACAACTGAACCAAAGTAATTTGAATAGATAATACGACATTGTGTAAAATACAACAACTGTCCTCATTGACGAACGTTTCTAGTTGACTCCCAGCTGGGAAATAGGTCGTGAATTTTAGGAAGATAACCAAAAAAAAGCAACAATTAAATATTGCAGGTTCTAAAAAATCGATCAACAAGGACGAAGAACCGGAGACTTTTAATGTGACTAGAAAAAGTGAATATGTTGGATGGTCAGACAAGAACGAATGAAATAATCTATAGGCGTTGCAAAATAAAAATGGGCTAAGGCTTGCAAACTTGAATTGTCGCTATAAGAAAGGTGTCTACCTGGGATGGTTGGTTATTATAGAGAGCGGTATAGATACAAAAGGAATATTCAAACTCATAAGTTGAAGACAAACTGACAATGTCTTGGAAAACTTGGGAAGACAAACAACAGTCTACAAAACAAAACAAACAAGACATTCCTCGAACCGGAGATCCACCAAAAAACCAAAAGTCTCTTTCCTGAACTTGTATCTTTCTCTCATCTCTCTTTCTGTCAAATTGGAAAGATTATTTCCTCCTCCAAAGGAGATCCAGAAGATAACCAAGGTTTAAAATTTAACCAATGTTATGATATTTAACCCTTGGTTAAAATTTAAGTGAGAGATGAACAACTGGGTCCAGCAGTCAATTATGTACAGCAGATTTTGATCTGTGTAACAATGTACCTATTGCATATATCTTACCGGTTATTTTACAAATGTAGACATTGTTGAGAAGATTTATCAACATTAACGTGACCAATGGTGCAATAAATTACCAATTGAAGCCATCTTTAGTCTTCGATAAATAAAGTAGCTTTACATCTGTTTTTTTTTTTTTTTTTATAGAAAGATTTATTTATTGGGAGTGGTTATTATTGATGCGTTTTATTTTTATCTATTAAATGAACCAGTTTTTTACCATGATTTTTATTATAATTTGGCAGTTTTACAAACTTAAATTACTGACTTTATTGGTGCTGTTAATGTAAGCTACTGCGATAAAAGAAACTGTCTCGATTGGAATTGACAATAGCTAACAATTGAATTCTGAAACAACCACTCAATTATTTAGATATCTTATCTATATGAAAAGAACAAACTGAAGACGAAAGATCATTTCAAAATTAATATTATGAAAAATCGTATATCTTACAGGAACATTATCAAAGGTTTTATGTGATTTTATCAGTATATCCGATTGCGACACAGACAATCTGAATGTTAAAAAAAGAGATGTTGTCAAACTAATAGACAGTCGAGAGGGATGGCACTGGGTAGAACATGGTGATACTAAGAGATGGATCCAAAATAATCTTGTTCAACCAACAGAAATCACCAAGTGGCCGCCATCATGTTCAATATATAAACCCTTTTGCACTACTAGAGTGTTCTTCAAAACGATATGTCTCAATTTAATAATTTAACATTCTTTTAAAATCTTATATTTTTTGTCATGGTAAATGGCTATAAATCAGATTTTATATTAAAAACAAATTAAATTACAATGTGCTTTGAAATACGCAAATAGCTACTAGCTTCGTATTTCAGATACGAAACTAAGTTTATTGTTAGGTGGTAGCTTTACACGGGAGGCGTAGTTATCTAATTTTGAAGTTTTATGTTTTATATGTTTTATTTTCTTTTTTGAATCTGTTACTGTTAGTTATGACTCATTCACACGTAATGCAAATCAATTCGCATTATCGAATGCGCATTAGAAAAATATTTAACGTTTCAGTATTTTCATTGCGCATTGAATTTGCTTT